TCGTCCAAGCCAATTATTGGACACGTCCTTCGGAGGCCAACCCTGAAACATTTCAAATTGGCCAGGAATCAAACGGCTAACCCCACGATCGTCCACGTCGCTAGCCAATTTTAGGGGTGGTGGATTACCCACATCTTTTTCAAGTCTTTGCCTCCAAGTTTCATGCTTGCCCCAGGGCTCGACTGCTTTAGGGTCTCTGCAAGGTCCGGAAGCTCCACAATCTGTCGACTGAGGAATCTCGGAAAGTGGGGTTTAGAGGTTTTAGGAAGGGGTTTCGGGGTTTGGCCTCGGCGCCTGTGGGCCCTTCACCCTGAAACATCGACTCCCTGGTTCTTAGCAGGGAATGGGGGAATGGATCCCTATGATAGTCCCTTAAGGTCCCCTATAGAAGTCCCAAAAACCCATTCCTCCATTCCCTACTAAGAACCAGTCAGTCGAACACGACGCGCCAAAAACAGCCAGAGCTCGTGAAGGCGGACCAGTCGGCGCGGCAGCCGGAGCTGATACAGAAGCCTGCCGAGGCGACGGAGAATCTCGTGCCAACCAAAAAGAGCGATGGCAGGTTTGCCTAAGTGAGTCCACTACGCGCCTGCAGCATCCCAAAAAATACCCGTCTTCATGACCCCCCGTGGGCTTTACACCGCAAGACTTTAGAGAAAAAACTCCGAAAGAGAACCCAGTCGAAGCCCGAACACATCCGAAAACTCGACCTGCTTCTGCTAAGCAGGCGCCCGGAGCCCCCCAAATCAATGTTTGTAGTTGAGGACTTAGGGCTTGGGGAGTACTTAAGCGGCGCCCTTAGACTCATAACGAACAGACTATATTTTCATATATCCCTTGCAGCTTGTCTTGTCAGGTGTTGCGAAGGACAGTACAGTGCAGAGTAGGGTTCAGGGTTTGGGGATTCGTCGAGGACTTAGGGCTCGCGGAGTACAAGTGAGGGCTTGAGGATGAGGGTTGCGGGCTTGGGGATTTGCCGGCGCTAGTCATCGCAGAAGAAAGAGAAACAGCTTACTGATGCCTTCAAGGAGACATCGCTAATTGAGTCCGAACAAAAACGGCAAAACCTGCGACTAAGTAGAGCCCTAAACCCCAAAACTGAAAATCATAAACCCCAAAGCCTCAAAAACCCCAAGCCTCAAAAGCAATGCAAACACTGCACCTGTTGACTTCGGAAGTTGCAAGGGCTTCAGTCAGATCGCCGGTCTGGTTCGTCAGCCGCCGGGGTTCGCATGTCCTGGGTGGTTTAGGAGGTTTAGGGCCGGTGGAGGGTTTAGGGTTTAGGGTCGCTTGGCCCTAAGGGTCTGTCTTACGTCTCTTCAGCGGGTTTAGGGTTCAGAGGCTCCGTAATTATGTCTGGGGTGCTTCTGGTACGCGTAGAAACCCGGACTTTTGAGACCTCCAGGAGGAGGCCCAAGGGCTCCCTTAGGGGGTTTAGGAGTTATTAGGGCTTATAGGGCTTGTAGGGTTTAGGAGTTTAGGGCTTATAGGGTTTATAGGGTTTAGGAGTTTAGGGCTTCTAGGGTTTATAGGGTTTATAGGGTTCAGGGTTGAGGGTTCAGGGATTCCAGAACCTAGTACGGAGACACCGAGGACATTGTAGCGAAGCTTGAAAACTGTTCTCACTACTGCGTAAGAGTATACCCCCGCGAATGTCTTTGTCTATCTGTTTGTCTTTCTTTCTGAACATTCAAGAACTCCATGGTGTATGCCCCATGTGTTTCTTTACTTGCTCACATGTGTACTTTTGAGTGTGCTAGTTACTGCTAGTTGTTGCTTCTGCTCTTTTTACATGGCCTTGAACCCTAAACCCTAACCCTGTACCCTAAGCCCTAAAGCTAACATGCCTGGGCCAGAGCAGCCTGGTCTCTGTTGCTCCACTAGTGTGTCAAGCCATGGGGTCGGTTGTGGAGCTCTTTTACACCATGGTTGTAGCACTGGGAAATGTCATTACTAGCTGTTCACCCGTGGATCAAGGCTTTGGGGTGTAAGGGCTGAATGGCATGCCGCCGGAAAGCGTTGCTGAATCAAACCACCCAGGACTCCGAAAACCCATGATTTGGGGTTTAGGGTTTAGGGTTGCTTACGTTTGCACAGTTTTGGAGTCTTCGCGGCTGATGATCAATCACTACTCGTGTAGAAACGATAGTGAGAAAGATAAGATAATGATAACCCGAACAATCAAAGGACCACTTGTAGTCGAGTTCCCTGAGCACGAGGCCCAGCACCCGCCACCCCAAATTGAAGCCTGACAACCTTCATTAGGGCCCGCAAGACCGCATGAGCACGAGTCCCGTACTTGATGTATAAAGACAGCTGTAGGGCGAATTCTAGACAAGCTCCTCCAACCTCAAACCCTCAAACTCATGGAGAACCCAAACACAAGAATAAAGCAGGGATGCCTGGAAATTCTGATGATATCCTACAGCTCCGAAGCCCCGTCATAGGAAAACTTCTCCTAGGGTGTTCCACAAAGTCTTCTGCAGTTAGTCATATCGTATATTCTCGGTCGTGCTTCACATAATCTCATGATATCTAAGGTATGTGTTCCTCTTAAGGTGTACAGTGAACCCCAGAAAGTTGGAACATCATGCGTTTAGGATGACTAGTGTTGGAATCCCCTCTACTTTGCCATAAGGCCATGAGGATAATGATGTTCCAACTTTCTGGCTTCTGCTGTATAGGGTTTAGAGTATAGGGCATAGGGCTTCTCAACATCATCTAAAGACAACTTCTTCGAGCAAACGACTCCTGGGTTTCCCGGGTACTCAAAGCTAGGGCCAGGGTTTGGGGTCCTAAACCCTAAACTAAACCCTAAACCCCCAAAACCCCTAAAACCCCTAAAGCCGTAAACCCCTAAACCCTAAACCCCTGAACCCGAAACTCTAAGCCCTAAACCCGGTTCGGCTTGAGTTCGCCACCCTGCATCCCAAACCCGAATCACACGAGCCCTCAGCACGACACGCCCATGGAGCGTCAGAAAGTGTAGGGTTTAAGGCGAAGGAAGGTTTAAGAAGCAGGAAACCAACCCTATCAAAGATCTTATATACATACTATGCAAGTCTCAACCAGCAACTTCTCCGACCCTGAAACCCCGAAACCCCAAACCCGAAAACCGTAAACACCCAGAAACCATACATCCCCAAACGCTTAAACTACGCATGTCTTGAAGAATGTGCCCTAAGCGCGAAAGCCCTATCTCCTCTTAGAAGGTAAACATAGAACCCTCAACAGGAGCAGAACCTGAGGTGCTCAGAAAACTATCCTAAGAAGGGCCTCGTCCTGCTGGCTAAATCAAGTACGTAACGGTGCAAACTCAAAAATTAAAGCAAAACCCCAAATCAACACACTCAGCTAAGTTGGGAAAAGACCCCAACGTCAAGCAACAAACACCCTAAACATCCCTAAACCCGAAACCAAAAAAACCTAAAGAGAGGTGGCCTGTTCAAGCTGCCGGGCCATGCTTCCTTGCACAGCGAGGAGTGGGAAACTCTGAGAGCAGCGCGCCGATACTTTCAGAGCTTTTGAGCCAGCGGGTTTATATGATTACGCTTGACTGTCAGGGGTTTCGGGCTAAGGGTTCAGAGTTTCAGAGTGGCGCGTATTTCTCGGTATTCTGAAGGTTTTCACGCGAGCATTTACACCTAGCACTTGAAGCATTTATTGCCTCGTCCAGACACTACAGCAGAGACAATTGATCCACTTCTCCCATTTTGGAATGACTTAAGACTTGTCTGCGATATCGAACAAACTTCTTTAGATGTAATCGCAAGAAACGTTCGAAAGAGGTCTGGCGGTCGAGGACGAAGGGTATGGCCTCGGGATGCAAATTGAAAGTGGCAGCAGGAATGCACGAAAATGCACGCCACCAGGGCGTCATGTTCTGTAGAGTTTAAGGTTATTTGAGCTCCTTTTTATGCCCGCCCATCCATCTGAGTAAACATAAGGTCATTGGCCCGGAGATGTCGAGGGCTTACGCCTCGCACACTAGAGCTCTTGTGGGTGGCACGGCCGTCGCATCACACAAGGCGCAAAATGCGCAAAGTGAATTACGAAGCCCAGGTTGCTGCGAAGAGTCGGCAGGTTGACGGTCTAAGGAAATTATCATCAGTTTTGCTGGGTTTGAAAGAGTATACCAATCTGCCACACTGGGGCGGCCGCATCCTGCACTTCTGGTCTGGCTGCGACGGGCTACCAGTGCAACTGGGAGCTCGAACTCTAAACCCCAACCCCGACCTAAACCTCGAGAGGTATATCATCATAAGATCATATACCATAACAAGAAGTATATAGGCTGATTACAAGAGCCACCCCGCACATGGTATCTATAGTCTCCTACATTGAACGTGCAAATTCAGTCCCTTTCTCGCTTCCGCCTCGCACACTAGGCAGCGTTGTCTTGAGAAGCCGCCATGATGCAGAGTGACTCGCCACCGCTTAAAGGGGCTTAGGGTTTACAAGGCGAGAGTGATGCAGAAGCCGGTGGTGTTGAGATTTTTGGCTGTAGTCTCCCAACGGAAGCTGCAGTGGGGTTGTCAACGGGACCGACTTTCCAGAGCTTCTGGCGCGAAACTTCTTTGGGCCCAGGGAGAAACCTTGTGTGGGAACGACCTCGGGGCGTGGGCCTTGCCCCAGGATAAGATCGGGACCTGAATACTTCGACAGTAGTTTAAGAAATTGACATTACATGGTTCAGTGTTTGTCTACGGCTTCTGGGTACGTCATCATTACATACATATATATATATATATATTGGTATATATATATATATATATTGATATACTAGTACCATTAGAACAGTACAATAATATGATATTACGATGCAATTACTAGATTCAGGCCTTAGCGGGCACTATTGGTGCATCCCTAAAACGAGTAAGGAAAACAGACGAGCCTGTTCTTTTGTGTTAATCCCTGTGCTTTGCAGCATCGACTGATGCACCAAAGTGCCGGCCTCAATCACATCACGACGCAAACGTGGTTGAACTTCCGAACATCTTTCAGTGCCTCTCACAGGAAAGCGGCGGTCGAAATTGCAAGCTGCTAAAACCCCGTGGGCACCGCCTGGCCTTGGCGCGATTGGAGTTCAGGGCATCTGCGAGTGCCTGACAGGGACAAGCGGGGTCGAAACTGCAAGCTGCAAAGACCCGCGCGGGCACCGCCTGGCCTTGGCACCCTCGTCTCCGATCTTGTAGCCATCGAGGTTGATGTCGGTGACGGTCTTGTTTGATTGCAGGGCATCTGCGAGCGCCTCTCACGGACAAGCGGGGTCGAAGCTGCAAGCTGCAAAGACCCCGTGAGCACCGCCTGGCCTTGGCGCCCTCGGCTCCGATCTTGTTGTTTCTGAGGTTGACGCGGATGACGGTGCGATTGGAGTTCAGGGCATCTGCGAGTGC